TTGGGGGGGGGGCGAGGACAGGCCTGTTCCTTTTTGCCCCCACCCCCAGCCGCGCAGGGGCTCTGTTCTGGGCCTTTCTGGGTGGAGGGGAAGGTGGTTTTCACCGATTTCCCCCCCAGTCGCTCTTCTCTTCTGAAAACTGTGGTGGTCAGTCTCGTCCCTGCTGGAATTTAGTTAATTGTGCCTTGGGGCAAGGGGCTGTGTGGCTGTTGGTAAAATAGGCTTTGTAAACGAAAGGGCAGATAAGATTATGAAACCCCATGTGTGTTGTTTGTCAGATTACTTTATTCTTTCTTACCAACGGCTTTGGGTGCAACCAATAAAGTTTGGATTATGAACATTCGGTCATCAGTATATTTTCTGCTGACAGCAGTGGTTGATCTATGCAGAGACTCAGGAGGGCATGTGCCTCACTTCTGCAAGCTAAATTTATGGATCCTGAGCCTGTGTTGTTCAGTGGCGTGGTCCTTCGCGCCAGTGTTGGGTCCCGGTACCTGTGAGAGAGGTCTGTGATGGCACGGGGTGTGCGCCTTTCAAACCTGCCACCCCAGTGGGATCTCAGAGCTGCTCTTGTGCTGATAGCTGGTGCCAGGCTGTGAAACTGGGTGCTGCGTGCGTCTCTTTGGAGGTGGCTGTGCTGTGTGCTCACCTGGCTCATGCAAGCTTTGTCCTTGGCCCAATCTGTAAATGGCTGGGGAAGAGCAGCACGTTCTGCCCCTGAGGGTTGGCACCCATCGGGGGTGACTGGGGCCAACATCGTCTTTTTAGAAGGAAGCACATGGAGACAGCAGCCTTTCTGCTTGGGGACAGGTAGCAATTTAGTTTGTTCTTTGAACACTCTTCTCTTTTCAAAAAACATAATAGTTGCTCAAAATATTCAGGCTCAAACGGAGTTGATGTTCACACTGTATTGCTAGTCAACCTGGGTGTTGGATCTGACTTCGTCAGCATGGATTCCAGGTGTAGCATAGGTAGGTGCAGAGAAGTCGCTAGTCCTGTGCGTTGTTCATGTCAGCGTGATGTAGGAAAGGGCAAAGCCTGTGCTAGGAGAGGGGAGACTGTGCTTGGGAAGACTTTAGGCAGGATTTGGGGAAAGTGTGAAGTTTGATCATCTCCTAAATTAGTCCTATAATTGGGACGAGGGTAGTGTTCCAGTTCTTACAGCACAATGCCGTGCCTGGGTAAAACTTGCCCACAGTGGTCTGTGCTCTGTGGAGACACATGCTGTGTCTACAACTGGAAAAAGAAAACTGGAATAGGATGCAGCAAAAGAGTGTGCTCCCGTGTACAGGGCAGTCTGCTTTCTGCCCTCAGGAGAAGATCCGCCCGCCTCTTGGGGCTGGAAGTCTGGCTCTTTGGATGCCTCCTGGCAGACAAGGTTTTACTGTAAAGGTCCAGACCTTTGCTTGAGTATGAAGTACGTAGACCTTTGGCAGTCCTTCCCTTTCCTCTTGGCAATGGAGAGAGATTTCCTTTTTTTCACCTTTCTCTGTTACCTGGTAATGTAATTTCTAGTATTTATGCATTGTTAGTGAAATCTTGCTGTCTTCTAGTTCCCAGTGTGGGCAGTAGCAGCGAGTTCAGTGTACACGTCCTGCAGCTCAGACCGGTGAGTTTGCCGAGTCAGATGCTGCCTGTGAGGAGTTGAAACGAGGTTGAGGGCAGGTACCATCACCTCGGCCTTGGTTGTAGCCAGGGAGGGGAAGCTAAGGTAGCCAAGTAGCCGGGTAACGTGCTGTGGTGGGGATAAGCCACAGAATGTGAAAAAATGCAGTGAGAGAATTGGATGCTGGAGGAGAAAGCAGATACTTCCATGTGGGAGATTCAGAACAGGTTCTCTGGGTTTGGCAGGGCATATGGGTTCATGGACTGAGGAGAAATGGGTTCTGTTGGGATATGGCTCTTTGGAAGAGGGATAGTAAAACTGGCAGTAGGTTCTAGCAAATGTGGAGGAAATTGGATCGTGGAATGTTTTGTGATGATAAGTGGTGTTTAGTTTTGTGCAGGGGCGGTTAATGCTACTTGTTTACTTGAAAAAAGCTGATGAAACGTGAGGATGAAGATGCAAACCTGTGAGCGGGGATTGCTGGGGAAAGATGTTGTAAAATGCTGTTTCCTGAAGGTGAGGCGCAGAAAGACTTTTGTATTTCAGATTTGGGGCATTTTCAAGTGGTGCAGCTTAGCTGAATAGAGATGAAATGGGGTCATGGTAGGAATCTGGGGAAGACCAGTCGTTATAGATTCGTGGAAACTTTCTAATGTGACAAAAGGGATGGGGACGTAACTTTTCCCAATTTTATTACATGGTGAGTGTCCTTATACCTTCTACTTGAATTCTTTTTCTGCATTTTCTCCTAACAGAACTAATCTTCTCTTTTTGTCTTTCCTCTTGTCCTCTGAGGAATAAGGGAAAGGAATACAGGAGAAGCAAATGGGTGACATTGTGGTGGTGTGATTAATTTCATGTCACATTTCTGAAGAGGCAGGGATTTATTTCTGGGTTACCAAACCTGTCACCTCCACTGTTCCTCCATTATTGAATTGTTTACATTAAGGTATCTGGTTTATAAGTTGTCTGGGCGAGATTGATGCCATCTTAGATTTTATTGTCCCGAAAGGGTCTTGAGAGAATAAACCCCACAGACTTTAAGATCAGGAAGGACTGCTGTGGCTTAGTCTGACTACGAACATTATCTGGTTTTGACTGCAAGACAACCCTTGGATGATTTTTCTGAGCTTGGATATCTCCTTCCAGGGGCTTCCAAGAGCTGACTTTCCTGGAATTTACAGAACCTAATTGGAGAAAAGGAATTCTCCTTTGGATACAGAAAAACTGCTTTGAAGAGGAGACTGCAGCTTTCTGAATTGGCGTTAGTGCTCTTGCTGAAAGTGGTTTTACAAGCTGGTTTCTGGACCCTGTTTGCCATCAAGGTGCCAAAGCTATCTGTCAGGAGGAAAGGTTGATAAGAAATGGGATTGTTGATGTGGTCACAGGATCAGTGGTTCACGGATATCTTCTCTTGCTCAGGCATCAGCAATAGAGGAGACGCAACGGGAGCTTGACATGAGTCTTACCTGCTCTTTGTTCAGACTGTTCTGGACAGTTTTATTCAAACAAATGATTTTATTATCCATGTCATGCTGCTTTGGGGAGCTGAAGAGCAAAAGGGGAGAACTTGGCGTTCTTTGGGGACTCAAGACAATGCCACCACAGACTCATGGCTGTTCAGTAATTTTAATTTTCCACAGAATTTATTTCTGTCCTTCTTATGACCGATTTCCAATTTTTAAGGAATATTACTGTTTGCAGGGAGGCACTTTCGAAAGCAGGCTGGCCAGCTGCTTAACCTAATGGCTGGATTATATTATGGCAATTTGCTTGAAGCGAACGGCGAATAAAGTGTGTACTAGGTGGAAGTGGAAAATAATTTGGGGCCAAGGTGGAATTTGGCTGCAGGTTGCCAACTGGATGCTCGTGTCTTTGAGAGTTAACAGCAGTCCTAGAAAAACACAGTTATTCTGTCTGGTTTTGCAGAGAAGTAGGCCTCTGCCCTTGTACCTTCTGGAACAACCAAAGGGTAAAGTAGTATGGGTTTTAATTAAGCTCAAGTGTAGGGAGAGCCCAGCATGTTCTGCAGTATTAACACCAAATTACCTGCCAGAACTTGCTTTCACTGGGTGGGTGAGGTCTCGCCACGTTGTGAAGAAGTGCCCCCAAAGGCCTCCTGCGTGTCCGGGGAGGTGAAACGGTGCCTCTCCTGTGTGCTGGCCAAAGCCCTAGGAGGAGGCAGCTTCTCAGCACATCTTTGCATACGTGTGCATGAGTTGTCAGTAAATCTTTATTTTTAGTGTTCTGAAAATGGATGAGCGTGGATGCGCACAACAAATTAATTTCCAGTACAGAAAAGCAAGAGCTCCTGCAACGTTCCTTCTCTTACAAGTTTTCTTGCAGATTCCTCTGTTACCAGTGTGCTGTGCAGTTCCAGCCTTGCCTTCTGCAGATTAAGCAGCACTTTGATGGAAGTCCAGAAGGAAAAGGAGGGCTTTTTGGAAGGTGTGCAGCATCTGGATTCGTGTCAACTCAGCTTATAAACTAAAAGTTACAAGTTTTGGCGTTTTAGAACATATGGCATCCAGGCATATGTCCAATGTATGCATCTTACCAGGCACATAAATGTATACTTGTCCTAAGCCATGACTTCGTGCTGCGCAGTGGCTTTACTGGGTGATTGCAAGGTGTGGAGAAAGATGCTGCGGAGATGGACAAGCTTGTCCTTGTACGAGGCCACCGGTGGCGTGGGCTCAGCATTCGTGTCCCTGCTGGGTTGCACTGAGTGCTGAATGCTGTGGTCACCAGGCTTCAATTAACCTCCAAAACATTGGTGTGAAATATTAAAATCTCAGTCAATAAGTTTACATCACCTGCAATGTCTGGATGTAGCTGGATGCACCCAGCTCTCAGTGTGTTGTCGTGGGGTACCCAGTGCATAATAGATACTGATTTCTGGAATTTAATAGCTGGCTTTTTTCCATTGGATTTTTGGAATGGTTGTAGCTAGGTTCATCTTGTGTTAATAATGATGAATTTTTAGAGAATTATGTTAGAACTTGTACTTTCTGGCAGGGTTTGCAACCGGGTGTCTCTTGCTGAGCCTTCTGGGTGCCAGCTAAACCATGAAGATGGTTTGCAGTGCGTTGCCTGCTCAATGGGAACAGCTGATGGCGGGGATTTCCTGAAGAAATAGTTACATGCAATGTCCATTGGTTTATCCTTTGGCTCTGGTAACTGTTCCTGCCTCTAGGAATTGCAGGATCAGATCAGTTTAAAATGCATCTCTTTTACAGATGGTAGGTACAGTTCAGTTGTCTGAGTTCAAGCTGAATCGCTGTCTGTGTGTGAGCCATAGGAGTCAAATCGGCCTGAACGATTGGCCTGTCAGTACTCTGCGTACTAATTAATGAGAAAAACAACTGTGTCACTTAGCAGTAATTAGAAAGGTAGGACTTTCCAGAGGACGCTGCCAGTTGACCTGATGTCAGCTGTGAAGAGCCTGTAGTGGTGGTGAAGCATTGTCCTTTGTGAGCCTTCAGGAAGAGTTGCCTGGTGTTGCTGGGATCTCGGAAACAGTAGTTTTGGTAATTGACTGCTTGGAAAATACTGTCCAGAGCTCCAGCAGTGGGAGCTTTGGGTTTAGTAACTCTCTGAGAAGAAAAAGAATCACTTCGCATTGGAGTCATTGCACGTGCTCTTGCTTTGGCTTTAGGTCAGACCTAAAGAGATTTGCCTCCAAAAAAAACCCTCCACCTTTCCTGCGCTCCCTGCTCGGCCTGAACTGGCGGGGCAGGGCAGGGAGGAGATGCCAGCAGAAAAGTGGTGTCGTGGGTTTCGGTTTGGCGTGTGTGTGTACTGGTAGGTTGGTTTGGCCATTCCTGGTTACAGTTGTAGCTGGTTTTATTTGATGGTGTGAGGAGTCTTCAGCGCTGGCAGTAATGGTATCCGCTGTGATTGTGGGAGTCTGGGAATGGTGGCGGGAGAAGCTGCAGGCGTGGGAAAGCAGCAGAGCCTGCACTTGGTGCCTTGCTGGTGCCACTGCCCACTGCAGCTACACGGCCTCATCCAACATTAGCCTTGGCATTTTTGTGTTAGGAGAAGCTTTCCTTTTGCTCTGTGTGCTGTGACTAGCTTAGCTCTGTATATATGAGGGAGAGTCCATGATTTTTGGGGAGAAGTGGGAAGAGCAGAGCTTTCAGATTTGACTGTTCTGTATAAAATCCCTTAGGAGGTGGCGTGAGGAGCGTTCCCATCACTGGTAGCTTCCTGCTGCTGGAGAAAATCCTGTCCACTCTGCCGCAGGTACGTGTGCTGTTGCCACCACCGACGTTTCGCAGAGGACAGTTGTCCAACTAGGCTGAGATGCTGGAGACCCATAGAAGTGTAAGCCTGGCTAAAATTTAGCTGTTACAGGTCTGAACGAAAATAAAGACTGGGACAGAACTTCTGCTAGGAGAGCATGTGCACACCAGTGATACTGCCAGGGCAACCTGGAGAGCGTCAGACAGGGTAGGCTCTGCCTTCTCCATTTGTGAAGTGGGAGAGTTAAGTTTTCCCCAAGACTGTGGAGGTTGTTATAAAATATGGAGGTACAGTACAACCGTACCATGGTCGGTCCTGTGACTTCTGCATGGATTGTGACCCTCATTACAAGGGATGACCTCTTCATTGGCAGGAACTGCAAGGAATTCGGGGGAGGAATTGGTGAAGCTGATGAAGGAAGAACCAGTCTCAATTTTAGGACATGGCTGTTGCAGAATTACTCCAAGATGTTTCTTCCAGTTTAACTAAACCTGTCAATTGTTTTCCCTAGTGACTGGTCGTGTCTTATTTTGAATTAAATGTTTCTTTTTTAAGGGAATGTTTGAGGTTGTTAAATATACTTGTTATGATTTGTTATTTCTCTGCAGCCGGACACAACCAGCTATTTAAAAGAAATCTGGAAAGTAATTTTGGTGGAAAAATGTAGTTAGAGCGGATTGTGCTGTTCCAAAGAAATACCAAGAGAAAAGTTTGATTTCAAACCTAAGCTTTTTTTTAACTCAATTACATTTTAAAATCTGCTTTTCTATTGATATCATCGCTTTAGTAGGTAAATGGTCTTCAGGAAAGGATGTAAAATGTCAGTTTTGTTAATCGAGGTTTGTTTCTATTTCAGCTGTAAAATCATACAAAAATATAGGTTGCAAGGGACTTCTGGAGGTCATCCATTCCGTACTGGTATTGCTGCAGTTCCACCATCACGAAAATGCGCAAATCAGATTTCTTTTGTGAGATAGAACATATTTTTTACAAAGTTGGTTACTATTATGTCTTCTTCTAAAGGTAAGCTGGGTTTTGATGAATGCTGGCTGCCGGTAGGCTGTACTGTAGTATTTAAGCATGACTTGATCTTTTAATTTCAGTGGCGTTTATCCAGTATGACATGTTTTCCAAACACTGAAGAAGTGAGTGCTCCTTCCCTGGGAGGCTTAAAGGCAAGGGGCAAATGGGCTACGTGGAGGAAGTCATAACCATTTTTTCTGATAATTGTAATGCTTCCTCTCACTAATAAAGCACATTATGCACTCATGGTTTCAGAGGCTGAGGTTGAGCCATTTACTATGAAAGGTAATGTCTCACTTGCAGTTGTGGATAAAAGAGAGGAACAACCTTTCGATTCGAGGCTACTGACTGTAATTCTGCTCTTCTCAGCTGACGGAGGGCTTTTCCTTTTTCAAAATGAACCGGCTGCTGTCTGCCTTGGCTTGTTTACAGTCTTAGTCTGTCACAATCGCGGCTGGTAATGAGCTTACATGGGGAAAGTAGAAGTGAGAGGAAAGTGTCTAGACCTGTTTGACCAAGCTGCGCGTCTCGCTTTCTCCTTGAGAAGAAGATGAGGTTGTCTGGGATGGTCTATGTGGAATTGGTAAGGTAATGGAAATATTTCCTCGGTGTTTGAGTTTGGCTTGGTGCAATTCGGGGCCTTTCTTATTCCTTTGGGACTGTTCTCTGCTAACTGAATCTGAGTTCAGGTGAGTCATTGGTAATGGTCATGTTTATGTGGTGGTGAACGTAGTTCACTGAGTTCACTCTGTCTGGATGAACTTGGAACCACGCGGCGATGTACTGCTCCCACTGAGGGCAGGTTAGCAGCAACCCACAGGGAAGCCGGTGTCAAGCGGTGCTCGTGTTCTTGGGTGCATTATTTATACTCCAAACCTTATCTGCAAAGGTCATCTCTTGGATAGCACTTGCAGGTTCCATGGGACACCAGTTTTCTGGGAAGCTCTTGGCTTCCAGCTCACTGGGAGTCTGTTATATGCACTGCGTCATACTGGTGCAACTTCTTAGGTTTAAGGTTCTGTGTAACCCTGTGCTTCAGAGAATTGCAAAAACATTTCCCAGTGAAGGGGGGGGGGGGGGAACCAAAGATTATAGTTTCTGTTATTCTTGTCTACAAAAAAAAAGGTGAATTTTTCCTAGAGGCTAAGTAGGTGTGTTTCTCAAACTAATTTGCATTGATTTCTTAGCTGTGTTTTGTTGCTACTTGCTGTAAGTGGATGCACCTGGAAGGACAGAGGGTCGAGGAAATTCCTATGCTAATTGGGTATAGGTGCTCTAAGTGCAGATACTTCACAAGAATTCAAGTCCTCCCTGGGGGCAGGGGTTGCTGTTGGGATTAGAGTGCATTGTAAGGATGATAAATCCCTTTTTTTAAAAAGGAAGAGGGTTGTAACCATGCTTTAAATTAAAATGTTTCAAAAATCAAATTGAAAGTAAACATTTTTACGGTTTCGGTGAACTTTTGGCACAAAAAGTCTAGCTTACCAAGCTGCTCGGACAATAGGCTACTGTTGGAGTAATTCAAACTTTTAAGAAGCGATCTCTTTTAATTAATAGACCTTCCAATTAAAACATTCCTATGGCAGCACAATTGTTTCTGGCTCTTGACTGGGGCTCTTGGGCACTCCTGCGGCGTAATTATCAGTAGTATATGCAGTGCTCTATTTGGCTGTGTTCTTGTGATTTTAGGGTTTTTTGTACACAGGATGAACAGGGTCCTGTGGGGTGCTCTTGGTAAGGATGCTGTGGAAGTGATTAGCTAATCAGCAGTTTGCTAATACTTAAATGGCTTTTTTAAGGGCAGGCCTAGGTGGGAAAACCAGGCGCTGATGTTTTTGCATGTTGCTTATTTGGTATAGCTGCCATGTGAGTGCTGTTCGGTAATGTCTTCCCAAGGGGTGTCACCAGAAGAGCTGTTTTCTGGCCTTGCACAGGCAGGCCTTAGCGTTGAACAGCGTGTGTCAGACGGCGACCAGAAGCTTTGTCTTCCTCGCTGTGATCTCTGGTATATTCCCAAAAGGTTATGTTTCCTAGTTCAGCACATCTCTACTAGAGAAATTAAAATTTTCAGAGATGCGTTGTGGTTTTTGGAGATGCTCAAGACTGCACGGGACATGGCAACCTGATCTAGTTGGATCTGCTTTGACTAGATTGCTTTTATCAGTCTCTCCCAATACACATTATCCTATGATTCTGTCATTAATGCAGGGATTAATAAATGACATGTTCTGTTTGGATTCTGACTGCAGAAATAGAACTCATCTTCTATAACAAGCTCAGGACACTCATCTCGTCTGGGTGTAATCGCTGCTCGTACCGTAGATTTTCTGCCTTAAAACGGCAAGCTAAACTGACATACCTGTCCCTATTATTTGTCCCTATTTGTGTCAGTCCCTTCTGTCAAATGGCTTGGATCCACTGCAGGATTATCCTTCTCTAGGGGCAGTGAAAACAAAATCTATACCAATTCCATAGCAGTTTTGAGCAGAGTGAGAAGCTTTCAAGCTGGGTAAGTTTGAATATGTGCGGAACTTTGCTTTAAAACCAAATGATCTGTGTAGACTCTCTCCTTTTCCTGCATGAAGAACAGTAGACAATAATACCTACCTCCATAAATAGGCATTGTGTGCCATTCTTAGAAGCTACAGTCCGATGATTTCCTGAAAAAGCCCTTCTCTGAGCAGTCCCTTACAGCATACAGCTTGTGCTAGGCTAGAGCTACGTGACAAAAAATACCCACTGTGAAATCTGATCTTTGGATAATGTGATTGATTTTCTTTTTTATTATTTTCTTTTTCCTTGCTGAAACTGATCTTGCTAAGCTGGGATGAGGTGGAGCAGTCATGTGTTCTTTATTGATACGGAGTTGTGCTTGAAAATTAAAATTGCCAAGTCATCTTAGACACATACAGGTTTGGTTAATTCCCACACAAGGAGTACGGGGCAGAAGAAGTTAGTGCGTGTCCTGCCAGAAGCACGTGGAATGAGGAGGAAATAAAAACACAGTGATTAAACTTTGAAATCTAATGAATTTCACTGCACTAAACATGTTCTAGTAAACTTGCTTGCTCTCTTAATGCCTGAATACGTTTTTGGAATATACATCTAATTTCTGAGTGTCTGAGTCATGCCACATAAATGGTTTGAGGTCTTAGATGATTGCTGCCTAATCTTCTGAAAGTGTATTTTGTTAGAGGACTAACATTTTGTCCAGGAATAGATTTTTTTTTTTAAGTTTTTTTTTTTAGGAATGCTTATTTATCTGTTAGCCGAACACCTGGCTGAAGTGCCCCATCCTTCCTTTATTGGGCCAAGGCCTCAGTCACACCTCTGTTGTGGACTTTGGAACAGTGCCGTGTCCCTTTTTAACCTTGGGGCTGGGTTACTGCAACCCTGTCTACCTGGAGCTGCCTTCCACACCATTTGCCTGTCACTAGGTCAGAAATAACCTGCGCTGCCAAGGCCCGTAGCACCTGAGGAGGCTTAGTCCACGCCAGAAAGAGACCTCTCTTACCTTTCTGCTTCCCTTTCTGCAGAACCAGCTGCTGCTCAGGTGGTGTGACACGGTGAAGGACATCAGACCTATGTCCCCCAGGTCCCCTCTCCTCTGGCCACCTCGGTTTGTCATGAAGTCTTCCAAGCATCCTTGGGCCATTTAATCCCTGAATGGTTCATAATGACTGGCCTCTATGAGATCTTCCCGACGTCCTTTCTTGTCTCACTGCTCATTGGGGATGTACTTTTCCTCATGACAGTCTAATTAGTGTGGATGTAGCTTAGCACTATTAATGTCCCACATCTGGAGAATGCTTCTGTCTCTGCTAGGGCTTAAATGTGTTGTACAGCGTGGTGCTGCTTTTTTAAGTAATCCCAGAGATGAGACCTGGTGGCTGCCTGCTCTGTAAGGCTCGCTCACTGTCAAGTGGGACGGGCTTATACGTAGAAGGTATCTGTTGTGAGATGGTGGGATGAGATGTCCGTGCAGCAGGGCACGAACAGAGTAGCAAAAGCCACCTTCAGGATATTGTAGGAATGGGAAAAATGTTGTGCTATGAACATCCCCAGCGTGATGTTCAGACTTCAGCAGTCTTACCTTTGGATGACTTTTCGGTCCTGGTGCTGCTTTCAGGTGAATACATCTTAGTTTGTACTTTGTGGGGAAAGCAGCATGGGCGTTTCTGTTGAAATGCCATTAAGCTGTTTTATACAAGTCTGTACAGTAATATGTGGGTGGGAGAGTGCTTAAAACTGAGAAGATCTGTGCTGGATCTCCTGGATTTTGTGTCTCTCTGCTCTCCTCCAGAAACCTGCTCCTGAGCTGGCCAGCCTTGCTTTGTCCATAAGTGCTTCAGTTAGTGCCTGTGTTTTCCAGTGGACCAAAAGGGCAGAGTAGTGGTGGATCAGTTCAGGTTTGGATTTTTTCCACAGAATGAATCAACGTAGCCACAAAAGCCTTTGTGTGCGAGCACATGGAAGGCTTCGATCCTTTTAAGAATTGCAAGTAAATCCCAAAGTTCTGGTTTAAATGAAAATCGGTGTTTCTAGAAGTTGAAGCTTCAGAAAGTGCTTAATTTAGGTTGCACGGGTGACATTGTTGATCTGTCAGCTCTGTTTGCAGCATCGTTTCTTGGTGCGTTGCAAGAGGTGATAGTTGTGCAACCTCGAGTGAGGGAAGTGTTTTGGGTACGTGGGGTGGCACAAGACTTCTTCCTGGATGGGGGAGAGATTGCGGCCGATGGCTGTTGCTTTTGTGCTAGAGCTGAAAGGGAAGAGTCTGTCTGCAGACACAGAGCACGTTGCCTTTCTTCCCTCTGGAAAGTTAATCTTTGCACCCCTAAGTTGGACACTACATCCTGAAAGTTACAAAGAGGAGGGGGGCGTTACTTCTGCTGGCGGGGCCAAGTGGTCCCATCCTGTGTGAGGGAGAGCAGACAAATTGTTTTCAAGCTCTGACAAATGATCCCAGTCCTGTGGCTGGGCTCCAGCCTCTCCTTCTCAGCGGCTTTTAATGATTAACTTAAATATTTTTATAGCGATTTTAACCTCTTGTTTATTTTCTCTCTGCAGGTGGAAGAATCTGAGGCCTTTATCCTCTGTCCAGCTTTGCAGTTCAGGTAGCCTCTGATTTTGGACATCTCATCATTTCCACCTGCCAACCTGTCTGATATGTCGGGACCCGTGCCGAGCAGGGCCAGAGTTTACACGGATGTGAACACACACAGACCCCGGGAGTACTGGGACTATGAGTCGCATGTTGTTGAGTGGGGGTAAGTCTCTGGGCTGCCTATAGGTGTCCCTGGGCTGGGATCGATCCCTGTAGGATCTGGCACAGTGGTGCACAGGGAGTTCAGGCACCTGTGCTGCGTTCGGCGTTGTCACGCTCCCTGTCAGATGTCTAGCGTGCGCGGCAGTGTTGGGATCACAGCTTTTCTTGGGAATTGCAGAAACAGCAGAATAACCTCTTGTGTGTCTGAAAGTGTTTCTTATCAAATTTTTAAATCCCCAGCAGTGCAAGAATGTCGCAAGCAGCTCCCTTAGGATTTGTTTTGAAGACTTTTTGCCAGGTAGTCAGGAAACTTGTCCTTTCAGAGGGCAGAAAATCTTGGTCTGAAACAGTCTGACCAGCCCTGGGTGTGGGGCGGAAAAGAAGGGAGGGGGGAAAAGACATCTGATGTTGCTTCTGACATGCATGAGTGAAGACACTCAGCAGACTTAAATAGGTACATGCTATTTTGTGCCTTGTTGCTCAGCTCTCTGCCAGTGACTGGAAAAGACATGTCTGCTGCTTTTTTGAAGGAAGGAGGTGTCTAAATTGAGCTCGTGACTAAACCGTCCAAGAATCAGACAGCAGTAATGCCAGCTTCGTAGCTCTGCGTTCCTGCTTTTGTGTAGCAGGGCCCAGACTAAATTCTGCCCTCAGCTTCATTGCAGTTCCCGGTTTCTGAAATAATACGGTCTCTTCTGAGCGTAAGTGAAAATGTGGCTTCCAAATGTAGAGACACCAGTGTGGAATGCGTGGTTGGGCTTATGTTACCTACCACAGAAGAAATAAGTTCTGGATTGAATCTAACTTGGGCAAGTAGAAGCTCCCTGTCTCTCTCCTAATTCTTATCATCGCATTCAGGAGATGTAAGGCAATAGTTAATCCACCTTGTCTGGGAGGTGAGGCAGTGATGTAGTGCTAAGGAGTGGCTTGTAAATTGTGGTGGAAATGACTGAGCTCTTTGGAACTCTTAACTTTTTATCTCCACAGAAATCAAGATGACTACCAGCTAGTTCGAAAATTAGGCCGAGGCAAATACAGTGAAGTATTTGAAGCCATCAACATTACAAATAATGAAAAAGTAGTTGTTAAAATTCTCAAGGTGAGCTGGGGATCGGGCAAAAGATAAAAACTGTCTTGAGGTGATGAGGAGGCCAGAAAGGACAGCATTTGGTCTAAAATGTTCAGTGTTCTAAAACTGAAATCCTTAAAGCCTGGCTTTGCAGTCATTCAGTGAGAGAGGCCATCATTTTGAGCCTCCTTATAGGTCAGATCTCTGTAAGGAATTAGCCTCTATCTTAAAGAAGTCCTGATGTGCAACACATCTTTGCTTGGAGCTAAGCAACACTTCAACAGCTGACACAAAAATTCTCACCTCCTCTAACTACCAGTGCCCTGGCTTGCTGTCATGTGCGTAGAGGCTTATGAGCTAATGGGATCATCGTCCTGTAAAGCCACTGATGAGATTTAGGGACCACTAACCTTAAAATTTTAATTTTTGCTCTGCCTGTTCCATTGCCCATGTAATATTCTTCCAGACTGAGTAAGGGACTCCTGGATGCTGGTTATTCCACAGCCTTGATTGATGAAATCCCTTCATTTAGTGGCTCTTGGATAGCTCGTGCATGTCTCATAGTTACACATTTACCACATGTCAGTTAAGAAGTTTTGGACTGTCAGAACATGATCAGACAGCTTTACAAAAAATATTCCATCTTCCTAACCCTCATTCAGAATGTTTGCAGTTGTCAGGGTTGTGTGGTTAGAAAGGAGACCACAGATATTTCGGCCCTTAGTGGAACAATGCAGAGTCGGGTGACAACAAAATCCAGCTGTTTGAACTTAACTTGCAAAGGCTCCAATGTATTTTGCTGACTTGCAGTCACCTACCTCGTTCATCTGGTTGTTGAGCTGTCTATTAGCCTCAGTTTACTGGAGTCTTACACTTTGGGTTTTTATTCTCCAGCCTGTCAAAAAGAAGAAAATCAAGCGTGAAATCAAGATCTTGGAGAACTTGCGAGGCGGTCCCAATATAATCACTCTTGCAGATATAGTAAAAGATCCTGTGGTGAGTACGGGAGGAACTTTAAGGGTACACTGGGGTTATGGGTGAAGTTGCTGTGTTTGACTTCAGCTCTGATCTGCCTTTTTGTTTCCCCCTGCTCTTAAATCCTGCTTTTGAATTGCTTAATCAGATCAGCTCTTAATCTGATTAACTTCTTTTAGAGGGCCCTTCCCCCACAGGTCCCTTCAGCCCCTCACTCTGTAAGGATGAGATACCAGTGAACTGAGACAAGTTAATTCATTCTACAAACACTGCTGCCAGGGGCTGCAGGCCTTGGCTACGCTTTCTCTGTCTGAGGGGAATCATAAGTACGTCTGAGGGAGAGGGGCTCCCAGCAGTTTTAGGAGTAAAAATTGTTTAATTCATTATCCTAAATGAAAACATCTCAACTTAACATGGCTGAACACTTTTCTTTCTGTTTTAGTCTCGGACACCCGCTTTGGTTTTTGAACACGTAAACAACACAGACTTTAAGGTACAGTGTGGGATGTGAACTTCTAATCTTTTCCGTTTGAAAGCCGCTTTTAATGTTTTTCTGGGGAAAGGCAAGTACGTAAGGGTAGGCAGCTTATTTAATCATTTCCTTCCAGCATAGTAACTGTCTTTAAAGGTAAATACACTTGGGACAGAAGTTTGTAATTAGTCCTTTAGTATCATTTTGCCACAGAAGTTACGAGATGAGAATCCAGATTCCAAGTGGTATTCTAACCTTTGGAGCAAATTAATCTGTTGCCTTGTAGACCATCGGTGCCTGTCTTTTTGAAACACTTTGGTTTTATGTTCAGTGTGAAACTATTTATTGGAACCACTTTAAATGTGGACAGCTGTTTCTGTGGCTTTCCATACCTCTGGGAAAGGGGATTTAAGTGTTTCTTTGTCCCCTTCCCTGCTGACCTGCCTCAAGAGAAGAATGGCTGTGCAGTGCCATCTGGAACAGCTGCCTAATGTCGCAGAGCACCCTTGGCCTGTTTGACACCCGGTCTGCAGGCATAATGCATCGTTCTGGTGCCACCTGAGGGAGTTAGTGACAGGAACCAGAATGCCCTGTCTGAGCAGAGCTGGAAGTAAACTATGTGATTTGTACGGGGAGAGGAACAGGCTGATGAGTCAGGTGTGGGATCAGAGTAACTTGGGAAACTTTCACCATTCCTTCAAATGGCTTTGGAGAACCAGAGCAGCAGAGAAGGGGGCTGGGTTGGTTTGGATTGGCAGGGATGTGATGTTTTTATTGGGCGTTGAACGCTGATAGGATGTGTTTGTGTCCCACAGCAATTATACCAGACATTAACAGATTATGATATTCGATTCTACATGTATGAGATTTTGAAGGTAAGTTGGTGTTTTGCTGGTTTTATCAGTTTATATCTAGGATTTGCACCCAACTAGTCCTATAGAGATGGTTATCGTGTCAGTAAGGGGGGCAGGGGAGGGAAGAGAAAGCCTATGGTAGGATCGGATAGAAAAATACATATCAAGTCAGTATCAGTTGTTCAGCTTTGTTTCTGTAACAAATTCTAGTCCTTTTTTGAGGATAGTGGAGCCTTTGGGTACACCGAGGTAACTTAAGATCCTAAATCAAAAGTACATGTAGCCTCTGAAAACAGAAAATTGGAAGCTGTTACTGGCTGGCTTTGTACCCTAATGTAATGCGAGTCAAATGTATTTGTCCTTTCTTCTGAAACAAGTATTTTCTCCTTGGGAGTCTGGAGAAGGGAAGGCTTGTTTGTTCAGTAGTGGCTAATAACTCTGCTCTTAGGGACTCTGAAATTCCATTTTTATGAGGAAGTACGTGAGGTGAAGTCAAAACACTTCTGTTGCTGGGACCTCCCTTTGAGAGGGGGCTCTAGAGGCGTTTTCTGTGGGCCAGGATTTAACACTGGGCAGCAAACCCTTGTCGTCTCCTTAGACTTGATATATGTGGAAAGACTTCTGAACATGATTGAACTGGAAAGGTTCTTGTGGCTCCAGCTTCTGTTTCTTGTATGTTGCCTACAGGCTCTAGATTACTGCCATAGCATGGGAATCATGCACAGAGATGTCAAACCTCACAACGTCATGATTGACCACGAGCACAGAAAGGTAATAACGTGGGGCAGGCTGGAGGGCTGCGAGAGGTCCTACTTTTCTCTTGGCCAACTGGAATCCCTTTTGGGTACTCGTGTGTAGGGGTACTAGCAGACATCTTCAAGGGGGGGGCTGCACTCCCATCGCGTGGAGAAATGTAAAATGAAATTCTATACACTGTTTTTCTCAAGTTTTTGAGTTGCATGTAACCCATAAACAGGGCTGGTAAGGAGAGGTATTTTATTTAGACCGGTTGGTGATCATGGGGGTGGGGAGAATATCTAAACAGATACTCTGGTCAACTTCAAATTAATTGAAATTGGAAGACTTGTAAATGAAGCTTCAAACTTAACTCTTCTGTAGCATGGTTCAGCCAGTGGAGAACTGGAGCATCCCCTCAGCCTTTTTTCTTTGTTTTCTGCCATTTCTAGCTTAGACTAATAGACTGGGGCTTGGCTGAATTCTATCACCCTGGCCAAGAGTACAATGTCAGAGTGGCTTCCAGATATTTCAAAGGACCTGAACTCCTTGTAGATTATCAGGTAAGAATTACCAGGATTTATCACTGACTTTTGTATGGAAAGGCTGTGCCATTGCAAGGTAGCAAACCAGAAATTCAGACTTCTAGAGACCTGAAGCTAAAGGCAGTCCATTCTGAAATGTATCGCAGAAGGCAGTGGCTATAAAGCCACTGAATTAAAGAAACTAATCAGTAGTCTCAGGAGCTGAGGAAGAGCCGCAGAACTGTACTTATGGATCTTGGAATACAAATGTTGAATTATTTTTTTTTTTTTTTTAGCAAGGCTGCTTTTGCAGTAAGGTACAGGAATAAAACAAAGTCCTTGTGGGAATACCTAGTACTGCATGAACTTCTAAATTAAGCTGTAAAAGAATCCCCGTATCTGATGGCAGTTTGCATTATGGAAATGCTGTGGGCTGGAATGAGCAGTGGTACTGGTGACTTTCAGATCGTGCCGGTGCTCAGTGAAGGCGCTTCCTCATCTGCCCATGTACCTTGTGGAGCCCACTCATTTGTTGCTTGTGATGCTTCCCTTCTCAGCCTGTGTTTCTCAGTGATGCATAACAGTGAAGTCTGCAGTGAAAACAGAAAAAGGCACTGGTCTTTAATCTCTTTATGGGCAAGGATGGAAATAGGATACCTGCTGTTCTGCTAATTGCTGTATCCCAGTTTGAGTAACTGGAACACTGAGCTGAACAGTGATCTAATGATGAAGGTGCATGAAGATATTTCAGTCTGTTCCCAGTGTAATGTGGCCGCGTTTGTATCGCTGGAGGGAGGGGGGACCCTGTTGGTGTTGGGAGTCTGCTCTGCTTAATTAATGAGAAATTTAACTGTCCTTCTGGTTTTGTACAGATGTATGATTACAGTCTGGATATGTGGAGCTTGGGTTGCATGTTGGCTAGTATGATATTCCGAAAGGAGCCATTTTTCCATGGCCATGACAACTACGATCAGGTAAGAGCTGGTCACGTACAATCTCTGTTCTCCTAGCACAACAGTTTCCTGCTTACACTTCTATTGAGGGATCTGAAGAAGAATTTAAGCATTTCTTTGATGTCTTCTTTCCTCATTCTGAAGCCACGTTCCTTTTCTCAAGTGTGCGAGATTATCTAACCAATTAAATGGAAGTAGGTTTATAGCGCTTTGCCTTTATGAGCTTTTCAGTGGATATCTGGAAAAAGTTCTAACAATAGTTCTGTAAAGGCTGGTGTGGTCTGGTATGTGGATCGACTGTTCCTGAGGTTATGTTTTGTGGAAAGCCCCTGCCGCTGTCCACCCTCCCTCCCCTTTGTATAGAAACGGAATTTGGTACAGTTTTATATAGATTCTGAAATCTTTGATGTGTTGCCTTTAGGCCAACATTTTTATACTTTAACATGTGCTCTGCATCTGAACTGATGTGCAGACGTTCAAGAACAGTGATCTTCTGTTCTCAGACCTTCAGTCTGGAACCCTCTGGGGTGGTGCTTCACCCTTCACATACAAGTCAGAGTTTCTGCTTTTTTGACCAGTTATTCTTCCCTTCCCACCCTGTTGGTTTTGAATATTTTCTTGCTACAAAAGGAGTTAGTGTTGCAAGATCTCAAGTTTTAGTGATGCTAGGGTCTGCCTTGGATTTTGAAGTTCCCCCTGTGACCGGAGGCGTGTTCATGATATGAACATGTGATTGTACGTGGCCAGGGAAGTCAGAGCCACGGGGTCACCCCGTGGCTGCTGGTTCTGACCACTGAGGTCAAGTTCAAGGTCCCAAGGGAATGTGCTGCTGTATCTTCACACTGGCTCTGGCATTATCATACCCTTGCAGTAGTGACTTATTTTTCTGTTTGTCCCCAGCTGGTGAGGATAGCCAAGGTGCTGGGAACAGAAGATCTGTATGACTACATTGACAAATACAACATTGAATTGGATCCGCGTTTCAATGACATCTTGGGCAGGTGAGCCAAGGTCCAGAGTAGCTCATAAGCTCTTGGTCGACCCGGACAGCTTTTGTCAACAGACCTTGATGTAAAGGAAAACTTATGCTTATGGGGGAAATCAGAACCAGGATTCTTGAGAACTGTCACTTTGTGCCTTTGATCCCTTTTGCCGGTGCTTTCCATGGTCTTTTCTCTGCAAGTGGACTTGAGGAAAGGTTTCTAAATGTCATCTAGGCAATAAACGAACTGCCGGAGCGTAAAGCATAAAGGGCAAATGCTTTCTCCGCTATTCTGGGGAAAACACCAAAACGGCGTTTTGCAGAATTACAGTGCAGAAAATCAGGTGCTGCTTCAGAGGGCATTTACGTGGTTTTCCCCTCATAAGAACTATTTTGGGTGACACGTACCAAAACTACAAGGAAGTTATAATGTTGGGGGCATACCAAAAGAGCAGAAGCTGGGGTTTTATGCCTGTAAATCCAGTCTGAATTTGAGTCCTCATGCTGTCCTGGGCTGTGGCGGCTGTGCCGCCCCGTGGAGGCACAGTGTACTGCTGCTTGGTGCTCTGGTACAGCTTGGCCTGGTCGCTGCCACACGAAGCAGCGGCCCCTCTCGGAGGCGGACGTCTGTCGCAGTTCTTGCTCTTCAAAAAAAGTGAATTTTGCCATTGCTGTCCTCTGCCTAGCCTGACCTGGGTATCTTTTTCTGCAGACACTCCCGTAAGCGATGGGAGCGCTTTGTTCACAGTGAGAACCAACACCTGGTGAGTCCAGAAGCTCTGGATTTCTTAGACAAGCTGTTGCGATATGATCACCAGTCACGACTCACAGCAAGAGAAGCCATGGAACATCCCTACTTCTGTAAGTATCAGCTGCTGTCATCATCTGCTGTCCAAAGAGTTCTCCCCCTGCCTCTGGGAAATCTCCGTTCCAGTAGGTTGTGCAGATAGGAGCTAAGAACGGCAACATAATAAGCCTGGTCTTTGCAAATAATTGCGCTGGAACTGAGGCTGCTTGTCTCTCTGGTGGATAAAGTAGGCCACTGCCACCTACACCAGCCGAGGAAACAAAGCGCTCTATGCCCCCGTCGGGCCAGTGAATCAGCAGCACTGGGTTAAAGAAGCTTTGGTGCTAAACCCGTGCTAATTCCAGCAAGCGTCTGGGTACACGGATTCCTGTGTTTTGGTAAAACCAGATAACTGGTTTGTTAAGAAACGGGCCCTTTGAACTCCTTCTGTTACTAAATGTGTACCTCAGGGAATGGTGTGTTCAGGTCTTGCTTTGGCAAGCAAAAATGTAACTTTCACTAGTAAATGCTTTTAAACACTTGCTGCTTTTCACAAATCTTTTGATATTTAGCTTTTTGAAACAGCTGCAACAATGCAAAATACAAGTATTTACTTGGTTATATTCTTTTTTTTTTCCTTGCTGCTGAACAGACTTGGGTGATGAGCAGTATAGACCTGTGTTATGCCTGTGGCAAGCCTTCAAGTGAAATGTTTTGCACGTCTGAGCACTAGTAAAGCTGAAAGCTGGGAACATGGGAGTTGGACAAACAGCTAAATTAACTTGTGCCCAAACAGGGATGCAGGCTGTACTGAACTCGGTGTGAGGAAGGGCAAAATTTGGAATCCCCTTGTCTGATGCTGTAGGCTTGGGAGGCAGAAAGGGGTTGTCTCTGTTCAGATGGTAGCATTACTTACCTGCAGCGGAAAATAAAGTTAGCCAGTAAATTGGGGACATCTTACAGAAGACAGCAAGCTCCAGTGACACTCATTACAACTCATGGGCTGCTGTGGGATGCATACGACATAGGATTGTAATTTGTGATAATCTTTCTGCTTGCTGCACCCAGTTTCTGGGTTTGGCCTTATGCAGTTACGCAGCTGCTTAGCACAGAGAGGAGATCACCTTCACCTTCACTTCCTTGCTGAACCCCAAAATGCATCATTTCAGGTGACTTTGCGCTGATTACGTTGCCCTGGTACCTTCTTGGGTGCTTCCCATGGGAGTTGGTGGGAACTTCTGTGTTCTGGTAGATGATGGTTGATACTCCTTGACGCAGGCAGCTTGGCAGGACTGGCTGAGCACCAAGGTCGCGGGCAATCGGTGCGCTTCAGCTAGCGACAAGGCAGCTAAGGGCAGTGTGCTCTTCCTAGATCCCATCGTGAAAGACCAAGCTCGGATGGGCTCATCCAACATGCCGGGTGGCAGCACTCCTGTCAGCAGTGCGAGTATGATGTCAGGTCAGTTCTGCTCTTGACTCTTCTTGGTGCGTGGCATTTTAAAGCATTTATATGCGGTGTGTGGACGCGAGGATCCAGGAGGGCGAGTACTGCGGGTGGGGCGTTATCTCCTGGGACCGATGACAAGGGCAAGGAGGGCTACGACGAAGCGGGGCGGAGAGTGTGATAAATAAGGCCTCGTTGCAGCCTGACTTGCTTTTCTGGTCTCGTTTTAAAAAAGTGCTTTGCAGTTGGAATTTTCGGCAGCAGTCTGAAGGACGGTGGTCCTGCCGTACAGCTGCCCGGCGATGACACTTGTGTGTATACAGATCTGCCGCTTTTTTCCGAGACTGCAGAGAATGGTGACAGATCTTTAGTCTCGACTTACTTCAGCAGCTCTGAAAATGTAACAAAGCAGCGGCAAACTGACCCGCAAGGCAGCTGAGCTGCCCTGGATAGCGATGCACTGGTCTCACTCTAACTCCTGCTTACCTGTCTCTTTTCCAGGGATTTCTTCAGTGCCAACACCTTCACCCCTTGGACCTCTAGCAGGCTCACCCGTCATTTCTGCCACCACCACTCTGGGGATGCCCGTTCCAGCTGCGGCAGGCGCTCAGCAGTAGTGATGGGCTCTGTCTCCTGCTGCCTGAGCTGAGTCAGGAGGGGAAGAGGTTTCCCCCTCCACCTCTCCTCAGGATGCAGCTCGTGCCTGGCAGGGGAAGGGAGGGGACGAACGCTTTGGAGGCACCGTGTCTGAACTGTTGCTTGTGGATTTATAGTAGTTCAGTCATTATATACAAAATTATTATAGGCTGATTTTTCTTTTTTTACTTGAACTTTTCGTAACTCAGGGGATTCCCTGAAAATACCTACAGATGGAATATTTCTCGGACAGTTCCCCCCTGCCCCCCCCACCCTTTTTTTAAGTACTCTTCATTTAAGAACAAAGATGAATCAACAGCATTTCCAAGCTCTTGCATCCTGCTGGAAATCTCTTCTCTTCATGTTCCCACCATTACTCCTCCATGAGCCTACACCTTGGGGGATTGTGCTGTTTTCCAGAGACTACCAAACCAAGTCTTCGTGAGGCAGGGGAGGGGGATTCTTAAAATTCCTCTCACTTAAACCCCATGTCCTGCATATGACTCAGCCAGGGTACGCTGAGGAGACAGTTCCAGTATGGAGAGGTGGTGTAAGCTTAAAAGAAGTAAGTGCAGATGATGTCTGAAACCCTAATTGGATTGAATCATGTCTCCTTAGGAGCCAACCAGAACGCCAACTCACCCCCTTGCATGTAATTTTAGTCTTCAAAGATGAAGTTACTGATCCAGTTGGAGTCCTTGCCACCTCCTGAGAAAGATGCTCTGTAGAGCAAGCCATACTCTAACCAGCCCCTTTCTCATGGAGGCATCTTCCTGCCATTGCTTGGCTTGGATCTCTGGAATTAGTTTGTTATTGGGTATATTGTTTTTAAATTGTTTATAATAGGTTTCAAGCTGGTGGCTACTTAAAGCTGGAAAAATCAGACTGCGCCAAGTCCGATATCACATCTTCACCCGCCATCCCCTCCCTCACGTGCCATGTGGTGAGAATACCAGTTACCTCACAGTCTTGTAAATATGCACTGAGAGGAAGGAGCGAGCAGACGTTAACTTAAACTGAAATGGTAGATCAGTAATTGTGGACAAATATTATCATTGACAACGGAAAAGCACCCTTGTTACAGCCCTGCTACCCCTTGCTGTGTATATATACTTTGTCCTTCATATGTGAAAGATCCAGTGTTGGAATTCTTTGGTGTAAATAAACATTTGGTTTTATTTATCGAGGTTAGATTGAAGTTCCCTGTGTAGAGGCCTCCCTGGGGTGGGGGTATGCTTTGACCCAGGAGTGGCCAACAGCCCCCTGCGTGGGTGAGCAGTGCAGAGAGGCCTCATGCAAAGATGACAAGCCAAAGTATCTCCTGGGAGAAGGCTCTTTTGCCATAAAACCAAAAAAAACCTTTTCTGTCTTGGCCCTGATGGAGGGGAAGTGGAGACGCTGAACCAATTCTTAGTTTCGTGTGTCTGGTGCCAGTTCAATCACTTGTTTTCAGTCACAAAACGCTGGTGGGGCTGGGGCGGCTGTGAGCACAATGGCACCCGTCCCTCTCCCACCTCCCACCCCAAAGCCAGCGCAGCGGGTGCTGGGTGTTCTGCCCGTTCCTTGGCGCCCGGCTCCTGCATGTCCTCTGAGCATCCACCCCTTGTTTGTTTTTCCTTGCAGGGGGTGATGTTTTGTGGCATTTCAGTTGATTTTGCAGGGCAGGGTGGAGCGTGTGGGGCCGGGTTAAACCGACCGACGAGAATCGCGGGCAGGGGGGCATGAGGCTTTTCACGTGCACCGGGGGTAGCTTTCTCCTCTGTGACCTCATCCAGCAGAAATACATTGTACTTAAACTTTTATATCCTAGAATGATGTGGAAATTGGACCGAGTTGGCCGTTGCCTTGATGTGCTCGGTGGGGACATTCAGAGGGGATTCTTGAGGGGTATTTCTTTATGGTGCGGACGCGCTGGGAAGAAGCTCTGGGGGTAGTCTAGGGCCTTTTTTGGTTTGGGTTTGGTTTTTTGTTTTTTTTGTTTTTTAATAAAAACCTTGAAACCCGGGGACGTGGGGTCAAATGTCTGCCGCGCGTTCCCCTCTGCGCATGCGCAGCGCCCCTGCGACCCCCCTTGACCACGTGATGTACCCCGGTTGACCACGTGATCCGCCCTTCAGGGAGCTGCGCCTGCGCATTG